CCCCCTCCCCAACGGGAAGAGTCTTTTGCCATGGCGGAGGGACCCTTGATGGTTACGATCGCGGACGACCGACAGGGAGCTCGTAGGCCCAGCTGTGGGCGCCGGCTGAGGCAGGCAGGCCCACCCGCACGAGGGAAGAAAAAGAAAGAAAGAAGTGTCTTCCGTCTCATAAATTCATTCCGTTCCGTTTGGCTAAAAGTCCGTCGTCCTCGCCCTGTCGCCGGTGAATGGGAGGCGGTGCCCCCCCCTTCTCCACTGTACTCCTCGCCAAGGCCTTCTGCCCGGTTGAACGCGGCCCAAAGCCGGTGTGTGTCGTAAGCCCCGATGAATGACAGGCCAGCCCTCCCCCCTCAAGCGGCGCGAACCGAGTCATTCCGCGGGCGAAAGCCTATGTCCCCTCTCTACCCCCGCGCTCCTCGGGGCCGCTGCTGCGAATAAAAGTTGGAAAGGCCGAAAATTATCGGCAAAGACGGCGGGCATGGGCAGGCGGCGGGCACAGACATAAGCAGGGCTCAGACGCTCTTTGAGGAGGAGCGGAGCGACGGCGCCTCCTGGCCGCGCGCGTCGTACACTCATCAAGAGTCACCCCGCTCAAAAGCGAAAAAGCGAACGGCGAATGGGAAACGGGGGAGGGGTGGGGGTGAGAAGGCATGTGCGGTACATACACAAACCTCGGCGGCGGCAAGTGGCGAGTGGTGGTGTGGTGGTGCCCCCCACACACCCACACCACCAGGCACATTTGCGACCCCCCGCGCGCGCACGACGAGCACCTCCAGAGCGTCGCCGCGCCCGTGGAGCGGAAAATGATATGCTAAATGTAAATTGAGCGAAGAGGAGAGGATGGCGAAATAAGTCGCGCCCCCTTTTCGTCGGCGCTTCACCCTCGCGCCGTCGGCGGAGGCACGACCCTCCTCCGGGACGACGTCGAGCGGGCGTCGTAGAGCCGCCACCACCAGCGCCCTCAAAGTCGAGTGATCTCTGTCCTCATCGTGTTCGTAAAAAAAAAGAAACGACGAAAAAAAGGGCGTGTGTTTCCGCGCGAGTGAAAAAAAAATGCCTCCTTTATGCAGAACGCCCCCTGAGCCCCCTGCTCGCATTCGCGGCCCAGGTGGGCTGGCCTCGGGGCTGGCGCAGGCTCTAAAGGCTGCTTTGGGTCCCGTATTATCTTTCTGTCTCCATTACACGCGCACATGTCGCTTATCGACAATCAGTGGGCGAGGTTCGGAGAAAGGGGGCCGGAGGGGGCTCACCCCTCGGCTCACCCCAACCATGCCAGAGGGTTGCAAGGCGAGGCCCGTCTGACAATGACATGCAAATCCCCCTGACATGTGCACCTCCCCTTCCTAGCAGCTCCTCCCATAGTCTCACGGGCAGGACCCCCTACCCCTACCCCTCTTAACGTCTCCCTCTCTAATCCAAATCCCCCGCGCCGTACTGGTACACATTAAAACTATTCCCCTCCATAATCGATACTTTATTGCGTAAATATTTGGACCACCATCAACAATAACAGGCGAAAACTGTAAAAACCTTTTCGCGGATTTTCCGTCTAAGTCGGGTAGGGAGGTAGCAGCGGCCCCGCTTTGGGCGGAGGAGCGTGGCCTGGCAAAGTAACTCACAATATCAGCGGGGAGGGGGTCGCTTCCACGGAATAACATCCTCCCGTTTTCTTTTCCCCACCAAGAAAAACACTGAATAAGTTTGTGCGCGCTTCTCGGCCAGGCGCCTGGCATGACCCCGGGGACCTCCTCCGCAAGGTCCTTGTCGATGCCTCCTCTATAGAGACCCCATCCCTCGGACACGCTGCGACGCGCCGCATCGACTCA